CCCCTGATTGGATTTTTTCGAACTTTTAGTATGTTATTATTTGTATATTATTTCAGGAAAAGATTTCGTAAAATATTTCTGTTAAAATTACTTCTGTGTTCTTTATAATTTTGTCTAAAAATCGATTGGTTCGACTATTAAGCTAAGGCAGCGTAAAAATGAAAATTACTCTGATTTTGGATTCAATTTTCTAATTGTTAATTTTGTTAACCCTAAAATGACTTAGTTTATTATAATCCTCCATCACTCCTTATAATTAATATCTGTTAAAATTAGAATTATCGAGTTTATCCAATTCAAGTTGAAATATACCATACTTTTAAAGCTGATGTAAATGTTTCATTAAATTTGAAAACTTTTTGTTTTGGAAAATATTATTATATTTTGTATTTCTTAAAAGATCAATGTATCAGCTTTATTGTGGAAATGATTGCGCAGCCATATTGATTGACTGTATGTAGTGCGCATCGAGAAAAGAAGGTGCTCTCCATTTCGCCATGTTCAATTCTTTGGTAAACCATGCCTGCTGAAAATTTGATGGCGGGGAACACATCGGACTTCAAAGGCATCGCCCAAATGTTCTTCACGCGCTGCGGCAGCTTTGATCTTGGTTCATTTGCATAGCACTGCGTATGCGTAGCTTTTTCGAGTGATCTCCTTCTCAATAATGCCTCCATAGTTAGAGAGAAGTTCATTATATTTAAATACCCTTGGTTACGTCAATGACAACAATAGTGTATGAAAAATCGAGTATACTATGTAATACAGGTGTTGCAAAACATATAAATGCATTTCACTTCCATAATGGCTTCATTTGGGAAGCGATGGACGGATTCACTATAAATCAGAATTAGATCAAAGAGGCCCAGACCCCCAAATGTTTTGAAAATTAAATTTTAAAAAAACATAGGAAAAGTAAAAAAAAAATAATGCCATAGCTTTAAAGATGTATTGTCCCTTGCTAATGTAAAAAAATCATAAACAATCATTTTGAAATCAACTTGCTAATTTTGCAATAATATACAAATTATTAACTTGTGTACAGAAATTATTAAATTAAAAAAATGTGTACCCTGATTTTTAAACTGCATAATTATAATTAAAATAATAAAACACTTCCAGACTTGAAGTGTTTCACTAATTTCTATGTTCAAGTTGATAACTTTTATGTTACTTCAAAATGGGCAAGTAAAATTCAAAAAATATTTTTATGATTTTTTTGGGTATTTAGCATGGGACAATACATCTTTAGGACTCTATTTGTAGGTCTACCTAAACCCTCATATTATTTGTTTAATTTTAGACCTATATTACATAGACACTAGAAACTTAACACCTGTACACACCTGCATTGTTAATGAGAATGTCCAACTGTGTTTCATTTTCAATTATTGATTTTGCAAATAATCGAATCGATTCCATCGATGCAAGATCCAACTCTCTAATAATAACGTTCCTATTACCAGTCTCCCTTCTTATCTGTTCTGCTGCACTCTCAGCTTTGGTCATATCACGGCATGCAAGAATCACTTTTGCTCCTATGTTTAAATAATATTAAAACAACAGTTAGAAAACAAAAACGAATGAGATCAAAAATGACTTCCTGTAAAATTTGTGAGAGGGCCTTATTCTATGGAACAGGGGAAAGTGTACCTCCTGTCCCATTCCAATCCACCACAGAACCAGAAGCCCCATCAGAAAGTTAAATTTAGTTGTGGTTAAACTAATGGTGGCTTGGATTTGCCTGATGATGGTCCGATGTCTTCGACGGGGAGGGGGGCGTGGAGGCCTTAGACACTCCAACGAGAATGCAAGTGAATCTGTTGGAAGTGGTTCAGGGCTGAAGCCCCCGGAAACTATGACAATC